AGAGGTAGTAAGAGGGGTGTTGGTTGTGCGACGAGAGGGATCACCGGCGTGGCGCGCAGGGTAGCAGAGAGGCCACGAAACGGAACGGAGGAACCAATTTCAGAGAAGTGGCTACTGGCTAATGGCAATTAGGGGTTGTACGAGTGGCTGGTTGCGGCGGCGCATAAGCGTGTACTGAAATTTACGAGGCAGACCGCGCGAATGGGCAACGTGGTATTATGGATCGCGCTAGATACAACTGACCTTTTGTTTTCGGGCTCGATCGTTATTAAATTTCGACGAAGGAGAACGGCCGGCGGAATGGGCTTGTTTCGAGAGCTTCGTGAAATTTAGCGGAGCCAAATTGTAGACGCAGCTTGTACGGAAAATATTCGGACGCTGGCGTGGAACACCAATTAGGCACGGAAGAAAGTATTAATATTTTGATAATTGCGAATGTGAATGTTACTTGGAAGATTAGGTTCGGATATTAACAAAATGAGTGTTAAACACGGTTCACGAAAAAATACTAATGTTTTAATAATTATGAATATTATTTTTCTTGACTTGGAAGTTAGGTATTTAATATTTATCTATATTTATCTCGTTTTATTTGTTTATTGCTATACTGTTACATTGTATGAGTGTTCTGTTACATTATTAACAGTAAATTTTTTTAGAATAATTAATAATTCTTGGTTCCCCATCGGTATGGAAAATTGTGATCTACCATAATTTTTCTTCTCGTGAAAGAAGAAAAATCGGGTTGTAAAAGGTTGCACTATGAATATTCATTTTTGCTAATCAGACATAATTTCAATGTCTTATACAAAAATGCGTAATCGAGATGAAAAAATCGAGATACGTCGGTAGAAGGGGAAGCTTTTATCAGCGTCCGAATATTTCACCTTCTTCTCGGTAAATATATTTGGTAATTCTGCTCGATAAAACATCAGAAAACAGCGGAACAATGAACGTAAACACGATACAGTGCTGTGCTCGTTGCCGACATACATGCCTTATCCTGCGTGATTAAGGCGATCCAATATTGCATGCAATAATTGCAATCAATAGACGTTCCAAGATTTATCGTTGATGGAAATGGACAGGCGATACGTACGTATATGCGTTTACTGTGACAGATGTATACGTTCCAACCTATGAATTTCCGTGGGCAACGCACAAGCGACGACGTTAATAGGAAATTCAATATTCTCGATCATTCGTCCTGCGAAATTGCGTGATATAAGTAACTCGCGGTAATTGCAGGAAACGTTCGTGCACGATAAATCTGTATATCAGCGAACTGTAAACTGAATAAAGTGGAGGAGTGATTAATTTTGCATACTTTCATACGGTGAAAATTATCGGTGAAATATAGTTGATGAATTTTACACTTGGAAATTTAACATTTGTAAATTTGATTTTGAATAATTTTACAGTGGAACTATAACTTATACTAATTTTGCAAATCTTGAATGATTAATTGAATTGTGAAAATACCATAGATAATGCACACAAAAAATTCAGTTACAATTCCTCTGAAATATTAATTACAAGTATATTTGTCATGCATATATAATACAACAAAAGGAGTAGAAATAGTTTCAATTAGAATTTTGAATGAAAATAAAAATCTGAACTAAGTGAATCACGATGCTCGAATTTTTGTAACTTTGAACCACGTGAGATCTTAAATCTTTCGTTAATAAAGCTACAAAGCTTCTTCCATTTTAATGAAATATTATACAAATAGTATACAAACAGCCTATCAATATTATAAATTTAAATCGTGAATAAATTCGTACAAATTTTACAAACTTACATACAAGCTCTATGAATTTGACGTTTCATAAATTAGCGGACACAAGTAGTATAAGACAAAAATAGTCAGCCGCTGCAAGAGTACCGTCTGCTTTATCATCCTGTTCGTCACTTCCACGAGGCTCGTCATTTTCTCAAATCGTTCGCGTTGATCGCGAAACTCGGCGACTTTTGGCGCAGCGAAGAAATGAAATAATTGAGATTTATCGCTGTACTGAGTCGACAGGATTTTAAGGGTTTCTTCCAGCGTGTAATACGGTCTTCTTCGAGCCGCTCTCGCCTGTTTACGCGGCCGTAAACGTCTCGAAAGAGTCTTCTTAACCCTGAGCAACGTGATATTCCAGCAGGACGCGTGCTGTTTCCGGGTTTCTCTTTCCTTTCTCCAACTTTCAAGATGTTGCTTGCGAAATTGCGTCGTTTTGACCGCTCTTTACAGAATTTCCACGCGATTTTATCGTGGAATCGTTGTTCATTCGCGTTAGCTTAATGCCTCCACGGTTAACACACGTTGAACGTTACTGCTGCGTTTATAGTTTGAGGTGTGTGTTTCAAGGGTGATTTTTGAAGATAGGGCTGAATTATTAATTTAACAGACGCAGACATAATAGAAAAAGAGAAGGTTAAATTTATGTACTCGTTCTTAGGATTTGGAAAGTTTGATTTGTTTTCCATTTTTCAACGAAAATGTAAAATATCCTCCATTTTGTAACACTTTTACTTTTCAAAAATTGGAGAAAAAATCTGAAAGACTTTTCAAAAATTGGAGAAAAAATCTGAAAGTTACATTTATATCCTCCAAAAAAAAAATTGAAACTTTTCGTTGAATAATCACCCAAAAAAAAATTCCCCAAATTTACCTATTTTTAGACTCTTCAGGATAGTGTACCTCCTTCGCTAATCCTAAAATACGAATTTCGTTGAAACCTAACTCAGCAACTTATTAGTATCTTATTTTTATCAATTTTCCCTTTACAGTATTTTATCTATCGATTACATTATTTCCTTCTTTAATCCTTATTCCAGCTTTGAAAAAAGGTGCAACCTCTGTCACGAGTATTAACATTATTCTAAAGATACAAAATGAGTGTAGTCCCTTAAAGAGGTGCACCATCCAGAGACATTTTTATATTTAAAAAATTTCAGGGAAAGCCTGAAAGCTACGTTTATATCCTCCGAAAAAAATTGAAACTTTTCATTGAACAATCACCTACCAAAAAAATTCCCAAAATTTACCTATTTTTGGCGTACCTCCTTCCCTAATCCTAAAATACGAATTTCATTGAAGCCTAAGTCTGAAACAAGCAGCAGCAAAGAAGAACAGTGTTCAGTTTAAAAATGAAGACTAAACTAAGAAACGAACGAAATAGGAATGAGAGTGTCCATTAATCGCAAGGGTTGATAATGGCGGCATGAAAAAGCATCGCGCTAAATCACTATCGCGACGTGTATAAAGCATCCCGGGGGGGGGTACATGTCCGGGTGTTAGATATAGTTTAAGAAAAGCCCTGTCTTCATTCGCTAAACGCGTTCCACTAGTGCCTCCTGAAATTAGACATTCCCTTCTCATCGTCCCCTTGGATCTGTTCGTGTTATCCCGACGCGTGGAGCGCGACGAAAATGGGACGACGCGACGCTTCGCCGGAATAATTTGCAGTTTTCGCGAACGACGGGGAACGAAGAGGATAAGTTCGGAATCGGCGGTGCTCACATAAGTTAGTTAAAGTTAAGTTGCTCACCGGGAAAATTTGTTTTTGCAACTAGGTGAAAGTTATATGACGTGCTTTAGAACGAGCCGCGGCGAGTTAGGAATTTTTACGAGACTTTAATTCCTCCGCTTCTATTCAGTCCGGGGGGTGTTTATGCTTTCTCATTTGCCTCAGACAATGTTGCAATCGAGTTGCGCGTATAATGTCGCCGTGTCTCTCTGCGTTGTCAAGTGTGCCACTCCTGTATTACAGGAATGTGTGCTTTGTGTACGTGTTTATTCGTGAGAATTTGCCGGACTAAGGGAGTACAGTGTTGTGTCATGCGAGTGAATTTTCGGTAATTGGAAAATTTCGATTGTTTCGAAACAACGGTTTGTTCGTTGAGGGAGACATTTGGTAGGGCTGCTGAGTTGAAATCTCGTGTGATTATTGGAGTTTAGGTATAAAGTTGTAGCTTATAGCGGAGTGTGTATTTTATTCAACGAAAGAGAGAGTGTGTGTGTGTGTAATGAAGTAACGAGGATACAGGAGTTGGAGATATTGTAGCATTTGGTGATCAGTTTGACAAAGGAAATTGTGCGCTTTTTTCAAAGGCTATTGTAATTGATAATATTAAATTTATTTAATACAGTATTAGATTTTATCTAGCAAATTTAATTTTCAAGCGATTTCAAATAACTGTCAATA